TCAATGCATACATCCACTGCATGTAAAGTTATTTCTAGCTACGTAACATCAGACAGTCAAGTTCATTTGGTTTTATTTATTGTAGTTACAGCTAGCATAGCAATGATTGCAGTTGTTGTATTTAATGCATGTATAGTATAAACGTGAGAGACTACTTGTCACTGTTGCGTTAGTACACATCATTTGCATTGTGATAAACAATTACGTGGTTCGCGTCCCAAAAAAAGACAATAAAATGGAACCAATCTATTCCGTGAAAGTAATGCACGTGCCTATTGGTGTATTAGTAGCTTGCTGATATTGTAGGTGACATGTTGGGTGACGAGTCTTGTCACAAAATAGGTTGCTTTTGGGAAAAGACTCTGCTATTATGTTCGTACTTTCGGTTCGCTTTATGGATGAGCTTTTAGAAACTTCATGTGAAATATGAAAATTAAAAGAAACTTTTGGAAAGCTAAGTAATTTGATGACTGCGCAAATTGGATGGTGTTGGAAGAACGACTGTGCCAAGCAAGGGTCTTGGCTCATTCTGTTACACTCAGGAAGAAAGGTGGCCAAGCGGCCAAGGCAACAGACCACAAATCTGCTCTCCTCTGTATGCGCAAGTTTGAGTCCTGCCGTTGCCATGCTGAAACCCTTTGGATTTGTCAGGTGGCGATGTTAAGTTTTCTAGCCGCGAGGGTAAAACTCTGAATGGCATGCGTGCGGTGACCCGAAAGGTGTTGTATTCGACCGTCCTTTATTGTGAGGCGCCTTTTTTTGACATGTTTAGTGAAGGGAAAAGTCTGTGATACCCGTTGACGATAAAGCAAACCTCTCCATGAAAATCGTTAGATGAGTGCGGGAGCGACGACCGCACTACCCGGTGGTCCTAGCAGCCAAACTTCCACCCATGCAGTGTTTCGACCAACGCTGGCGGTGGCGTAGTGAGGACAAATGCAACGCAGACACAGACGCAAGCGGTGAACGACGGGTAGCGCACCACCACCATGGCAGCTGCAACCACTATGACAACGACGGGACACTGACGCTGTCGGCTTCTCGGCAGCGACCGACTCAGAGCAAGAGCGACGGGGCGCCCGAGACGACGACGTACAATGAAGGGCTCGGCCTAAGAGCTCAAAAAGTAGGCCTTTACCAAATATAAAACCAAAGAGCATATTTTCTACAGAGTATGCGGATATTCAGCATGCTGCATTTACTACAAGAACAGCTCGGGCGACGAGGACGGGCCCAACGCGTACGAGAACCAGCCCGATTACACGGGTTGTCGTAGAAAGTCAAAAATGAGAGCGCAGATGCGGGGTTCGGGGAGCGGGGGCAAGAACGGATGCTGGAGATATAAGACTCTCATTCGCATGGCGACAGCCACGAAGGTCCGCGTGAGCATTCGCATTGACAATAAAATACGTAAGGATGTAAGAAAGGGGACAGAGAAAGCTGGAACGAGAAGTGTTGACAAGCTGAAGTGGAATGTCGCTATGCAACCGCCTGGAGTCGTCGAACCTGCGCTACCGGCTAACAGACGACATTACACGGCATGTGCGCGAGTGTCTAGAATGCTAAACAGCGCCTATATTGAGGTGTGTCGACGCGTGAGCCATGATTGGATGGATTGCGCCACCTCCGATGTGGCCAATCTGTTCTCGAGAACCCAGCGCCTCATTCTGTGAGTATAAATCTTATATAATAAACAGGAGACTATAATTGCTTTTATTAGTTTCTGAAGTTCAAGAAGTGAAGGTCGAACAGAATCAGGTGGTTCTTAATCCCATTCGCATCACAAGTTGCCTTTCTCGATTCAAATCAAACACCCTCTTCCCTGTCTACACGCTCATTGGCGACATAGCAATAAAGGAAACAAAGTGCAAGAGCTTGAGGTGGTGCTGGCCAATATGAAGCAACTGCTTCGCGAGAAGGAGGAACCGAGTTACGCACTCGCCAACAACGCGGGAGTTCAGCGATCTGGGATCGGGATTTTACGATTGTGACTCAATCGCTCTTTCGTTTGTTTCACTTTTTTCCTTTCACTCTCATCCGCTTCTCTTTCTTCCTATTAGTAACCTACAAAGCCAATGCGATCTCCAAATGAAATTTTCTTGACTCCCCGCACACTCCCTTTCCTGAAAGATACCGAGATGACAAGGAGCTAGCCCTACACATGCTTGATTGGAACGACATACTTCAGCACTTTTGTTGGTGACTTTTGTGGGTGAGGCAAGAGCCCGTCCGTTTCCTGTCGAGTAATGGTACTGATTTGAATTTAATCAAGGGGCTTGTGCAATTTACAGGCATTTCTTTTGCAACATCAAGGCTTTTGTTTCCTTCCCCAAATCCGATAGGCATGGCGACCACCGCGTGGCAGAATGCTTTCAACGAAATGAACCGCTACAGAGGTGAGGGCCGCGTGTGGAAAGCGAGCATAACCATGTTACCCTTACCTATCCACTCGGTCACAGCTGCTGGTGCCTTTGGCCGCTCTCTCCCGAACTTGGTCTGGGATGCTTCGGTCGGCATGCCCATCGGCTGCGTGAGCCAGAACCAGTTCTTTGTGACACCCTACGGAAAGACAGTTGTCAACCCCTCAGGAGACATAAATGGTCTCAAGGGAATGGCTGTCAGTTCCGGCGTCTCTTTCGGGGGATATACCGTATCGGACGAGCTTTCTGCGATCCAGATGGTGTACAACACCCTCTCGACAGGACCCATGGTCATTTCGAGCACGCGCGCGACAAGGGTGTACTGCGAGAGTCAGTCGTGCTCGGGATACACCAGCTACAACTGCAACTGGGACGCATACGACACGGACATTATGCCCGGAGGACCGTGCGGCTACTCGGTGGCGGGTGGATACGCTGGGATTCCCAACGCGGGTTGGTGTAACACCAACAGCTATGACTACGGCTCGTCGATCGTGTCAAGCGTCCCCACTTGCACGAATGGTTTCTGTGCAGCGAGCTGCGGGAATGGATTCACATACAAGGATGGGCAAGGATGCACGGTGAGTGTGATTGTTCCCTAAATTGGTGGGTCAAAGAGAAGCTCACGTCATCACAGTTGCCCATGGGATCTGCTTGCACAAACGTCGGAAACAATTATTACAATCAAGTCTGTGATCAGTCTGGCCTCGGTGTCAATTATTCGATTGATCAATTCGGTTACTGGTCCGATGCCTGTATTAGCGGCGTCTGCCAAGTCACTTGTAACTCTGGATATGTGGCTAACGCAGGAAAGACTGCGTGTTTGGTAAGCCGGTTACATATATCCCTTCTTTCTGTTTTCTGAATAGGCGCTAATTCATGACAGGCACAACTCGGCTCTGTTTGCACATCCGACAGCACCTGTAACAATGATGCTCCCTACTTGTCGCCTTTAAACGCAGTGACTAGCTCGTGCTTGAGCGGTGTCTGCAAGATAACGACATGCGTGGCTGGATACAAGCCTGACGTCACCGGAACTTCGTGCGCCGTGTTTACTACTACCACTACCACTACCACTACAACCACAACCACAACCACAACCACTACCACCACTACCACTACCACTACCACCACCACGTCAACCACCACAACGACAACAACAACCACAAGTTAAAATATTTTTTTAACAGATGTCACGGAGTATTCACAGTTTTTCCCCCTCAGCTCCCCCTCCCACCACCACCACCACGACTACCACTACTACCACCACTTCAACAACAACGAGCACAACGGCCACAACATGTAAATTTTATGGGTGTTGATTTCCTTGAAGCGTGTGCTAATGGTCTCTTGCTTCCACTAAAGCCACCACCTCAACTACTACAACCACTACGTCAACTTTGCCCCCAACAACCACGGTTGGTTTTTCAACTTCTGGTTCAACTTTCGCTGTTGTTTTTTTCCAGTCGAAGTAATATCCATTATCACCCACAGACGACGACAACCACCACCCCACTCTCCCCTAGCGCCACATCTGTCGCTACCTCCCAAGCCACCTCCCAGGCTGTTCCAACCACGACTACAAGTACCGCCACTTCTGCTGCCCCTGGAACGTATTCGTTGCTTGCCGTAAAGACTGGAGGTCCAACGCCAATCTCAACTCCTCTGATTGAAGCATACCGCGATAACAATTGCATCACTAAAATGCACCTTGTTCAGAACCCAGCAAATTTGAGAGACCTGAACGGCATTCCGAAGTTTGACGGTCTGAACGCCACCTTCTGCCCTACTGATCCGGATGTCCGGGCTCAGTACGGCGGCCTGTTCGACCTGTCGCCCGAGAGTGCATACAATATCACGTTTGGTTTCAACAGCACGACAGACTACCACTTTTACTTTGTCTACATCAACAGCAAGAACCCCAAGCAGCGCCGTGACACGGTCCAGTCCAGCCGCGACGCATGGCAGTTTATCTACGGCGGAATCGCTCCAGTGTGGATCCCATCGCTCACAACGCAAGCTCCCCTCCCACCCACAACCGAAGCTCCCCTCCCACCCACAACCGAAGCTCCAGCTCCCAAGACAACCGATGCCCCCGTCCCGCCTCCTCCCACCACTGAAATAGCGCCACCAGCCCCTACCCAAGTGCCGGCTCCAAGCGGGATTGTGATTCCATCTTACGCTCCCTCTCCGTTACCTTCCGGAAACTATGGCGTAGGTCCCTCCAACAGCGCAGTGGCCCCACCTAAGCCAACCAACCTTTACAAAGCCGGTTCTCTCCAGGTCGCGGGTTCGTTGGGTTTGGCGTTGGCTGCTGCTTTGATTGCGGCTTTGTAAGAACATTTAATTTTCCTCTTTCACCCCTTGTTCAAGACGTTATAGCTATATAGAGAAAGAATACATGTTATCGAGAAGCTCACAAATGGAACCAAAATGTATTGCCAGGCATCAGCAAAGTAGAAAAGACTAAGCCAGAGGAAGTGGAACTGACACCAACTGTCCACCCTTCGCGACAGCCATTTTGGTCAAAGCTTCTTCCGCCTTTTTCAACCCCAACCCAAGCTCCATTTTGGCATCCCCAACCATCACTCCTCCGTGGGCGGTAGAAATGTTATCAAAGTCCCACTCCTTCATGATTTTAACAACCCAATCGTAAAATTCTTGGACGGAAGTCGGGGTGTTGAGCAGGGCGTGGTTCCACAGGGACATGTGGAACGAGATTTCGTGGTTTCTTCTTCCAAACACGTTCCGCTCAATGAATCCAGGATCCATGCTCACTTTGAAGCAGTCATCGCAAATGATGGTGCGCGAAGCGCGATGAAAGGCAACGACGCCTGCAAAGTGGTTGATGCTTTCAGGTTGAGGGCTCACAATCTCGCAGCCAGCGGTCCATTCGAGCTCAATCTCGGGTGCCCAAAGCTTGAGAACCTGGATGAAAACGTTAGATCTTCGTAGGAAATAAGTGAATGGGTTTGCTTGCCTTCTCGTCATCAACATTTCCGACCCAAGGCACATTAGGGTAATTGCGCATGTGACGCGGAGTTCTAGAGGAATGAGATGAATCTGTGAGTTTGATTGTGCGCTTATCCAGGTTGGATGCACTAACCCATAGAACTTGGCATTTGGGAAGAGCTCGGCGAACAGTTCAAAATACAAAGTGTGGAAAGGATTGGTAGCAACAACAGCCTGTCACGAGTTTTGAGATG